TGAATCCTTCAGTCAATAAAATACCTGATAAAATCTGCAGGGAGGGCGCATTCCCTGCCAGATGCGGAAAGGAGGGTTTAACAGAGGCACTAGGTATAGCGCTGAGCCGAAGCACAGCACGTGTTTGGCAGGGGAGCTGTCACAGGACTGGAAATCACAGCCGGCCCCGGGTGGGGGGGCCCCGGTGCCGGCGCCGGGTTCGTGGGTGGCTCCTGCGGGGTCTCTGTTGGAGGGGAGAGTGAACCCCGTATTAGGGCTTACACAGCCCGAACCCCTGTAAGCAGTTGGCAGATCGCAGGGCAGGTAAGTGCTTCACTGGGCACAGGAGGAGATTGTGTCCTGCAAGGGCAGCAGTGGACAAAATGGATATTTAAAGTGCCTGCCCGGGTGAACTGCCAGTAGTAAAGCTTATTTTTTTTCCCTACGAAAGTCTTAATTTTACACCTAATAGCATTCAGCTGCATAATCAGAGAGTGAAGTAATTAAGAAACGCTGTCCTTTTCAAGTTGCGGCAAGGTTAAGGTTCAGGGAAGGCTGTTGGGACAATACGCCCTGAACCTCAGCTGTATTTGGTATAATTATATACGTATGCTAATCCTGTGTCCTAATTAATACACACCTGCTAATATTGCAGGTTGTTTCACACAGGGAATTTGCCTGTGTGGAACAGGTTGCTGAAGCAGGGCTTTGATTTCAGATTCTGAAAGATCTGGAACCTCCACGGTTTGCAGATGGTGGTCTGAGAAGACTTCACAGCAGCATCAGTTGTCGTGCTCAGTGCTCATGTAGCTGTCTTCTCTTGTCCTGGAAACTAAACTGGCTATTGTGTTTTGTTGTGATGTGGTGTTGTGGAGATTTGGAAGATGTCCATGTCAAAACCTCCACTTGCTTAATTGCAAACGAAGGTCTTGCATTACACTAGGAAAATCAAAGGTGTTAAAAATCTCCTTGAATAGATTTTTTTAGTGGAATAAAGAGATTCATTGAGCTGTAGTAGCTTAATTCTCCCACTCCCTGACATAGGAGAATGTTGTTAGGACTTAATTTCTTCCCCACATTGTGTTGTACAACAGCTCATGTGTTATTTCAAGCAACTCTTGTGAGCTGTGGGTTCTGTTAGATTACACTTCATGCTGTGTTCAGTGTGACTAATGTTTTTATAGTGAGGGAAAGTAAGGTGATCCTGATGAGTGTAGTGGATTTGGTAGTTTACTGAATAAAGCAAAGGGCTCACAGTTTCTCACCGCAGACTTTTATAAGGCTTTACAGGAATCTCACCTTATTTCCTTTTCAGATTGGCGATGATGAACAAGGTTACGACCTGGACTTGTTCTGCATACCTAAACATTATGCAGATGATTTGGAAAAAGTCTATATTCCCCATGGGCTCATCATGGACAGGTTGGTTTGACTTCAGACAGTACATTGCTCCAGCTGATTCCATGACGCTGGAATAAACAATCTTCCAGTGATAGTTTTGCTGCCTGGTGACTGTCTAAATAGATTACATTTAATTAGAGACTAAGAAGTACAAGTGCTAATTAACTCTTTCATGTTCAGCTTCTAAGAGTTTGTACATTTGCGGTTATGCTATTGTTTGGGAATCTGTCATAATTCTCAAGTGAAATTTTGTGGTATGAAGCAATCAATGACTTTCAGTGTTTAATGTTTTACATCTTAAAACCTAATTAGAAGGCATTATTTATTGTGCCAGTTCAGTCCCAAACAATTATAGTCTCTTGAATTTCCTTAGGATATTAATAAAAGTAAATTATTAATCACATCATCTTAGACTTTTGCATGTTTGTGTGGTAGATAAGTAATATTCAACTTCCTTCTACCTCTGGGAAAGACATTAGCCTCTGAAAATATCAACCTGTCACTTCTGTGGTTGCTGGAATTTGTGATGTGGAAGTTTTATCTTGTGTGATCAGAAATAAGTGCATAAGCCTATAAGGCATTTTTGGTTTGCTTTGTGTTTGGTAGCTGTTAATTCCCTTGAAGAGAACGAACAACAAATTCAGTGAAGCAATACTGACACAACCATTTAAGAGTGGTACAGGGTTGCTCTTCCTGGAGGTCTCACAAATAGGAATGCAAAGAGATTCTTGAAATATTTATTTTTTAATACTGTAAAAACTTTGCATTGGAAGTCCATACCGAGGAAAAAATTGGATGGAGTACGTCAGTGAGTAATTTATGTGACGTTTATAATGGTAGGCTTTCTCTGAGAAACCTGCTGTCAGCTGGCACACAGTAAATACATACTATGCTTTCTAAAACATATAACAAGATAAATTTAGAAACAATGATTGCAGAAAAACAGTGCAGTGTTCTCTTGCTCTGCTTTGTTGGTATTGTATTTTGCAGTTAGGACAAATTTCTGGCATTCTAGCTTGACAAATAGACATAAACTCTTCAGTTTACAATTCAAGAATTTTCTTACTCCTCAGTGAGGGCTGCTGCCTTTTAGTTGTGTTAACTTATGTTGCTCTTCACATGGAAGCTGAACAGTCTTTGGTAGGAGAAAACACTTCCATGTCGCATATCTGACAGTGAAACAGCTTCAGGGTGTCAAGATTTGCTTTGGCTGAGTGTGACATACGAAAAAAAAAAAAAAGGCTTTTGGCAGTGCTGCTGTTAGATTAACCTTGGAAAGCAAAGCTTTGTTGACCAATAACATGTAAAGGTGACTGAAGTGGTAGGCAAATATTTCTGAGGAAAATGTGTTTCCAGGTCTGATGCCTGTGCTTGCTTCTGTTAGCAGGACGAAGCGCTGCCGCTATAGTAAGCAAATGAAACGTGTTTCGACAGCTAACTCTTTCTTGGTTTTATATAGGACGGAGAGACTGGCACGAGAAATTATGAAGGGCATGGGAGGACACCACATTGTAGCACTCTGTGTACTCAAGGGTGGCTATAAATTTTTCGCTGATTTATTAGACTACATCAAAGCACTGAACAGAAACAGTGACAAATCAATCCCCATGACTGTCGACTTCATTAGGTTGAAGAGTTATTGTGTAAGTATCTCTGCAGTACTGTGCAATTCTAGTATAAATTTGACTAACTTCAAATTATTAACAGAGGTGGTTTAATGTTGTTGCTGCTAGAATGTGCTAATATTAAACAAATAATTAAGGGAGTTAAGAGTCACAAGCTAATTTATTGTTTCTGTACCGTATTATGTAATCTGTTTTCTTTTAGACTTTGGTATCTCTGCAGCCCTGTAAAACCCTTATGCAGAGCAGAGATACTCATTGCATGTTCTTTACTTGTTAAACAGTTTCCTCTCTGCCCACTACCCTATCCCTACAGCTATGGCTTTAGAAAAATGCAGAGGATTCTCCTGCAAATGTAGTTACAAAAATCTAATTCTAGGATTTTTTACGTGGCTGAGACATCATGCGTTGGACTAGAAGACTTGAAAGCTGCAAAAGCAGTTATACCCAGCTTCCCTGTCTCATCTTCTGTTTGGCACAACCAAACAATGAGCAAAATTAGTTGTGTTTGGCCTTGTGGAAGTACTGGATTCATAAAGCTAAGATTTATGATTAGTGACTATGGAATATGGCACAACTTTTTCAAGATTGGCTTTACATTGCTGGAAAAAAACCCTTTCATCCTGGTCTAGCTTTATAGGAGAATGAAATGTTCTGTAACGTGAGGTAACGTGTAAGTTTTATAGAAGGAAGCATGAGGTTATGTTAGGTAGGTCAAAGGAAGAAGCTGATGGGTGTTAGTACTGCAAACTTCCTGACTTGCCGACTGCCTAGTCTCATGTTTGCAGGATGGTATTATGATTTGTTCTGTAAAACCATCTGTAGCATGGAAATAATTACATTTTTTTCCTTTCAACTTGGAGTGTTTGAATAAATTGTTTTGTAAGGTTATGCCCTTAGTTCTGTCTCAGTGACTTTGCGTTCAAGTCAGCATTATAGGCTACATGTCGCAGTTATAGAGGAGCACCTATGCCAGAAAAAAGCTAAACTGGAAAAATTACTGAGTTGGAAACTCAACGTCGTCCTTCCTTTTGCCTAACCAGTGATGGAGGTATTTGCAGATTTTGTTTGAACTGTCCAAGAACTTCATAAATTCTTGTTGAGGGATTTGCTGACGCTTCAAAGTGAAGCCCAGAACTGCGTGAGGCTTTGGTCAAGTCTGTTTGCAGGACAAGCAGCCCTGCCTGCCCAAGGCGTCCACGTGGGTGGCTGTCCAGGGGTTACCTGGAAACCACGTTCGCGCTTGCCGTAGGCCAGGCAGTAATTTAGTTACGCTCTTTAACGAGAAGGCAAGGCTGGGCAGAAGGGTCCCTGCCAGCCTTTTGTTCTCTCTCATAAGGTGCTCTCTGTGCACTGTATTGAAAGCAGTGGGTGAGAGCGCTTCAAAAGATTCAGGTTCCTGTGGCCACTAAACCACCACGTGCCCGTATATTCTGCCTGCAAAAGCCACGACAGAAAGCTGAATGTCTCCGTTACGGGATAATAAGTTAAATACTCCCACCTTTTTTTTTGGTGAGGAAATTATGTCTTCTGCTTTCTTCAAGGAACACCTCCAACTTAGCTTGTTTAAAAAACAGTATGAAGACTGCACCCTTTCACTCTCTTCACTTTCTGACTAACTTGGAAAAAAGCTACTGGAGAAATGGTTTGAAACACCTGAAAAGAACCCCTCTGTTAAAAAGCAAGGCTGCCTTACGTGTGTGTTGTCTTTGCTCATCCTGGTGTATTAGGCATGCTTCGGTTCATTTCTTTACTACAGCTGCTTTTGTTTGTTACTCCCTAGAACTACAGTGTCTTGGTATAAATAGGGGAGTGAACAGCAAATAAGTTTTATGAAATTTTAAAGCCTGGTTTTTGTAGTAAGAACTAGTAGATGAGGAGAAAAGCAAAGAAATTTGGACAGAAAGGTGTCTAAGCAGAATGTTTTCCTTGAGGTGTTGGCTTCAGGGATTTTGGTTTTGTCAGCGAATTCTATAAAAGGATGTTTTCTTGTCCTAGATGAGGAGCTCCTGTTACCTGATGCCTCCAGTACAGTATTTATGAGCATCTCATTTCTGTGGACTCTCTTAGGTAGTTATTAATATCCAGACTGCTGTTCCTGTAGATTGCATAACTCGATAGACTGGCTAAGATTGTCCCAGGTTGTCTGAAGATTGTCTGGGTCTTCCATCATTACTAGTGTCAGGATGCTAAATCTGCTCAGTAGTTTCTACCCGTGCTTTACTAGATGGGAAGGATCTGTGTTTAGTGATGTGAAAGGCATTGGGAACTGTAACGGACGGCTGAAAGTGGAGCGAGCTCTCTTGTCGCTGTCTTTGGATGCGACTGCTAGATCATGCTGCCTGCCTTCCCAGACTGGATAAAAGATGTTAAAAATACCCTGGTCGCATAAACAAAGCAGCTGAACTTGTGTAATGGTTCTGCAATTGGTGTAATTGAGGTTCTATTCTTGTTTGAAACCGATCATTTAATATTTACAAGCATACGGGCTTTTTTTTGTGTGGCAATGCAAAGTTCATCCTGTTCTGCACCCAAAAATAATTCTCTAAGAATACTGACATGATCAAGCTGTGATTAAACTTTGCTCCTAACTCCAACTTTCTGAGTCCTTACAGATGAATTTTAATGATCTGGCAGGCTGTTAAGAAATGGAAAGATAGTGTTTGTGAAGAGACCCAGATCTCCGTATCCGTGACAAACAGTTCGTTTTGTCTGTGGTACAAGAAGAATGGCTTTTCACCAGTCTCCTGCATTCAAACTTGGAAATGAGCAAATGTTGCTTATGTAGCAGTGGAGGGCAGCCAAAAGACAAGGGATGTGTTGCACTGTCACTCAGGAAAATAGGGATTTTCGGTGAAGTACAGGGTAAACTCTGGTTAGGCTGGTCACGGCAGTATTCTGAAAGTACACTGTTAACTAAGTCTTATGGCACATGCTGTAAGGAACTGAAAATGCCTTTTTAAAAGGTGATCTTGGAGTCACTCGAGTCGGGAGTTACGATCTTGCAAAGCGTTATTGTTTTCCAGCAGTGACAACAGGGAGGCAGTGAAAACAGATCTAAACGGTAAAACTCTTATGTGTTAAACCACAAAGCATTAAAGTCTTACCAGTACTGAAATCAGAACTAATGCTCCTGAAGATAATTAAAAGGTTGCTTAATTATTAAACAGAGTTCTTTCCAATGGAAATCTGGTTACAACCAGTTTAGAGAATTCTTTAACAGCTTTTTATCCTTTAATTGCTCGGGAACTCAGTACCTGGGTAGGAATGCAGGTTTATGTGCCAATGAAGATTTGTGTTAAGAAGTGTAGCAGTTTGCATGGGTTTTGGTGGGCAGGAGCAGGACCGTTTCTGTAGCTTAGATTGGTTTTTTGCTGCTGATCATCACACTTTAATATGCATAACCCAAAGGCTTGCGGTAAGCTAGTTTTGTGGTGCTCTTACCTGAGTGTAGCGTGTTGCATTGTAGCCAAACAGATCGTCAGGAGCCTGATCCTTCACATATACCGAGCAGTCTCATCTATGCATGTAACATCTATGCACTGTAACATCTTCCTCCGTCGTTGTTTTGGAAGGAACCACTTTTATTTTTTTTATGTCTTTCCGTGGAAGGAGGATGAAATCCCTCTTAGTGTAGGAATAAATGAGAGAGAATCCTGTAACATAAACAAGGAAAAGCTTAAAGAAGCTGTCATTTAAGATGATTTTAAGATAGTATGAACACAGGAAATGTCCTTCAGCTTTATGAAGACTGTGTGAAACGGAATCGCATTTTGGTGGTTGATCTAGCCAGTATCTCAGGCATCCAGTAGCAGTGTGCATATCTGCTGGCTCAAGCAGCAGTCATTTTGACATCTGTGGTTTTGGACTTTTTTAACACCGTGACGTTGATGCTGTTTGGTGGTGGTGTTGTTTGCCTGGTTACGGATGCGCTGGAACAGCTGACGATCAAAAACGAGTGTTCCTTATAGTAGCGAAACATGGCACTTCAGTGTCATTTCAGAGTCGTATAACTCAAACTAATGTTTTCTTTAAAACACGTGAGGTAAAACTGAAAAGATACTTTTCCTTATGATTTATTTGATCTTATTTTTTCATGTTGTTTTACAGGAATCCTAGAAGGAAAGTATCTGTTAGTTCTATAATCTGATTGTACATGCGTAGAGCTGTCAGCACTTCTTTATCCTGGGCTGTCGACACCACTATCCACAGGATTTTTAATCCATTCTCCTTTTACTATCATCCCAGTGTTACTTATTGTGTACCTGGAGTGTGCCTCTCTAGATAGTTTGTTTCCCCCTTTTTTGTGATAACATTTGAGCTTTTGCCTACAGTTCATATCGCACAAATATCTGACTTCATGCGGCTGTGAAAACAGAAAACAGAAAGCTGTATGGGGCATCCCTGTTCCCTTGTGGTTCCCTCTCTATTGCATCTGTCATTTTTGGGCTTTGGGAAGAAACTGCTGCTTCACTGTGTGTCTGTGTAGTTGTGGGCTTCAAGGTACAGCAGCAAAATAATAACATTTTTCTAAAAGGAAGATACGTGTTAAGGAACTACGAGAGTGAAGTTTGTTAAGCAAATCAGCATTTTGACAGAATTAAATGATGAAGTGATAGGGTAATGTCATCTGTACATAGTACAATAATAAACATATCACATCCAGTATGAACTGTGAGACACTGTCAAGGTTTAAAATCAGGTGAATGACGTTAAATAAATTGCAAAGATCTGTGAAGCACTCCTAGCAGCTGTTTTTAACTTTCTTATGTAACAGGTCATTTATGTTCATATCGAAGTTTAATTTTACTGGAGCAAAGTACTGTGTTGTAGTGATGGTGTACTGAGGTTGCTGTTCAATTACTATAAGAAGTAATTGGATTTCTTGTAAACTAGGAAAACATAAGCTTTTCTGGCTATTTTTATAGCTTATATTTCTAAATATTAATCTGTACCTTATTTGCTGGCTGTTCTTGTTACTGTTATGATTGTTTATACTTATTCAGATAGCAAGGCTTTCGAAAGCATTAGAGTTTAAAATGTAAATTACCAACTATATAACAGCACACAGCTTGGAAATTGAAGTACTTTTTGTCTTATTTCCATATCTGTAGGGAATACTTGGCAAATCATAACTCTTTAGATACATATATGTATATAATGGTCACAGATGAGGAAGGTGACTGTGTTTATGCAGATCTCTTGTCAATCTTTGATGTGAAATTCGATCTTTGAATTTGATCACTCATAATTTCTTAGTTAATAGAGAATGCTGTTGGTATTGTGTTCCTGAAAGCATTCACGTTCGCTGGATATGCTCTCTGCAGTTTTGGTGCTTACTGGAAGAAAAAAGCTATTTTAATTCTGGTAACACTAATGCTTATTCTCCTCTTTCTTAGAATGATCAGTCAACTGGAGATATAAAAGTAATTGGTGGAGATGACCTCTCAACCTTGACTGGAAAGGTATGGCTCTTTGTATGTTTAAAAACAAAACCACTAAAGAACCCACAAACCTACAAGGTTTTAAGGCTGCTCTTTTGGTGTGTGAAGATTATAGAGTTTTAAAAATTGGAAACGGAGTTTTCATCTAAACATTTGCCGCTGTGTGCTGGGGAAGCGGGTAAGCCCTCAAAGCTATCAGTTTAGTATGAACCTAACAACTCCCACCCCAATTCACTGTCTTCAGTATCGGCAAAGTTTTAGGAGATTTGTTTTTCTGTGGTGCCTGCGAAGAATAGTCTTGTGGGGGCTGTTGCCTACAAACTACGTTTAAAAGAGAGCAGCGTTACTGATTTGCTGCACTGGTGGTTCTCTGAAGCCATGATGGGACTTGCTGCTGTCGAGGCGCGTAACGCACAGCCCAGGTCGGGGACGGGGGTTCCTGTTACAGGTGGTGACGAGAGAAGGAAATGAGAGAATGTGAGTTGGGAATCTGCTTTCCTCCAGTGACTGTGGAGATCATCACCGGGCCAGACGTCTGAGGTTAAAGCGTCAGGGCTCCTGCTCTGTCAGAGCACGTTGCGTTCCCCTTCTTACACGTCCATGGTCTTTAAGGCATGTGTGTCACAGCTCAGTGTAAAGGGTGGAGCTATGGCAGGGCTGACGTGCCTCTATATTACTCTCTTTGCTTCAGAAGAATAGGAATTGTGTGGCCTCCGCTTCGATCTCTTTTGCATGCGTCTAGAATTCTCAAAGTCTAAATAATTTAAAAACCACTTTGTACTCAGCATGAGACGTTGAGGAGAATCTCATTGCCCACTAATTGTTATTAGAGCATCAGATATGTTAACTACATAGAATTTGCTGTTATATGTCTAAACATGCATGAATGATGATATGAATATTTACCTGCAATGAAAATTAATAAGCTTAAGAGATTAATATATATTTAAAAATGGCATATTCGCTAGGTGTTAATGGATTTATCTTTTTTTCTTCTTCTTTTTCTTCCCACCAGAATGTTTTGATCGTAGAAGTAAGTATTAAGTTCCATTTCAAAGTTCTAATGTGGGTCTGGTAAAAGAGTTCAAACAGAAGTTGTTCTTAAGACAGAAAAACTGATTTCTGGTTTCAAGGCTTCCAGCTTCTGATTCCGGGCCTGAATTTTGCAAGTGGGCTCTAAATTTGAAAATATATATTTTGAATTCTCAAATTACATTCTAGTGCTAAATTTAACAAGGAAAATATCCATGTAAAAAGTGTTGCATTTGTTTTCAGTTTTCTGGGATTCTGTCAATTCTAAAATGTCTGTGTTTATTTCTATTTAAAAGTAGCCTGAACAAAGTAATATTAAACATATTGTTGTTCTGGGTTTATAACAAGTTAGGGAATTAAACTGCAGAGTTAGAAAGGGGTTCCTAGTAGGAATATACTAAAGTATGTGAAAACAGATCTCGGCCCAGTGTCCCTGTGTGTAATATGTTTAGTGACGTGGAGAACATTAATGAGCATTTTGCCGTTGCTAAATTCCCATTCCTCTGTCTTGTCATGGTTCTTCAGATGGTACCAGGTACAGTACACCTCAGTCTGGTTTCCTAGTAGGTACTGTTGCTTAATTCTTGCTCTCCTACCTCTTTCTTGATGGACAGTGTCGCTTCTGTTCGGTAAGTATCGCTTTGTCAAAGGGTATTCTTGAGTAAGCTTGCCAGCTTCAGGATAGGGAAGCGGGAGCAGCAGACAGGAAAAATGGATGTGCAATCTCATGTTTTAAGGCTCCAAATTATGGAAATGGCTTGTTTGTAAGCAAAGAAACAACTATAGAAACTGCAGCCAAAGGGAAGGATGTTTCCTCTCATAAAATGTGGTTTTTATGTTTGGGTTTTTTTTTTAATTCAGGAAGGTTATATTATTCCACAGAAAGCACATTCAGTTCCAGAAGTTTTACCAGAATAGTATGTATACAGCAGTCATCTGTGTGACCAGTGGTGTCCTTTGAAGTGTATTTTGGGTCAGATAGACAGATGTGTTTAATTATGTTTCTGCTCCCTTTCAGATGAGTATGTGTCTTTAGAGTCCCAGACAGCTAACTAGGTTAGTTTCTCATTTGTTCAGCAAATCATCTACCCAGTGACTTGTCTTATACACTGTGAGATACGATCCCTTTTACCAATCACAGTTTTAACTGTCAAACAATAAAAACACACATTTATTGTAGGGTTAGTGTTATTGTTAGGGTTAGTGCACCAGAGCACTAGGCTTTTCTATAGAGCATCCCTTTCACGTGCAAAAAAACCTGAACAAAATGGAGATTCACCTCCAATAAACAGATAATCTACCATACAAAACCAGTAATAGGTTCTGTTTTTATTTTGGAGTATGAAGCAGCTACTTCTCTTTCTTCACCAGCTCCTATTTTTCTCTATGTGTCTATATGTTTCTAAGTTTTCTTGAGTTTATAACCATGATTAAAAGCATCAGGTGTTAAAGATGGTATTGCTGGTGGGTGCTCTCTTGAGTTTTTGGTTTGGTTTTTATTTTGATTGGGAGTCACGGGAAAATAAGGTGAAAGCAGGACATTGCTGCTTCTGTGTTACCGACGTCCTTCGCTTCAAATAGGCTTGATCTCAGGCCAGGGTAAGGCCTGTCCCTTTAAAGATCACGTGATTATCTCAGTCCAAATGAGGAGTCCGTTTCTGATGCTGCAGTTGCAAGTCATATATTCTTTTTTTGGGCTTATATGTGCAGCGGATGGGATTAAAAAGCCACGTCAAAGGTCATTTTTGCATATTTGAGTATAGACTTTAGAAGTGCAACAAGGTATTCCCAGTTCAATTCCTTTGGCTGTTTCTTGGTTCTATGATGTAAATTACATTTCTTATTCTTTAATTGCAGTAATGGGTTGTTCTACCTATTTTCCTTTCTTTTCTTTCTGTTGTGTACATCTATCTCTGTAACTGAGCTCAGCAGCAAGACTAATATTACTCTCACCATGCTCTAATTAAACATTGTCTGATAGCTGCAAGGAGCGCAAGCCATAAAAGCTCCAAAAGGAGACGAGAAGGTCGTAGTTCAGTAACTGCTTTCAAAGTCATAGTTATCCACAACAATTAAGAGCTATTATTAACGTGCGTGATCGCTTCACTGAGCGTAGTTGTGTCAGCACAACCTGATGTCACATGTCACCTGTGTTTGAGTATGAGCAGTATTTTGGCGTATTTTTGTGCTATTGCGGATGAGCAATTTCTGTGGTAGAAACCTGAAAATGCTACTCTGACACATTCGATATTCTTTCTTACATGATTTTTTTTTATTTTCAGGATATAATTGATACTGGTAAAACAATGAAAACGTTGCTGTCTCTACTTAAGCAATACAATCCAAAGATGGTGAAAGTAGCCAGGTAAATATTTAATGGTGATTGTTTGTGCTGTATCTCACAAGTGTGAAGGGGAAAAAAAAAGCCAAAAAAACCTCACCAAACCCCCAAACCAGCATGGAATGTGTTTCCATGGAAGAGAAAATGGGAGGGAACATTTCTGCGGGAGTCACAGGAGTCATATATGGTGTGATCTGTTGGAGTTTAGTATTTGTTTGAACTCCAAGAGCACTTTTGCCTGTTATGAGAACATGTATTCGTTAAGGCTGGTGGAAGCACTGTTCTTTCCAGTCTTGCTGCTCTAAGAATTCGAGTGCTTCAGAAGGGGACAGCTTGTGCGTGCCTGGTACTTGTCTTGCCTTACCACATTATGGTAAGATTTGTGGAGTTTTACCACTGAAGTCCAGGTTAGGTTTGGAAGTATGTGGAAGAATTTAAATCTTCTGGGCTTAAAAAAAATGCCCTCTCAAGCTGGTAGAGGTGTTTCAAATTCATGACTGCAGACTTTTACTAGAGAAGGGGACAAAACAAATCAGTGGTTGTCACTTCGTGTATGTATCCAAACATGTTTGTTCCTGGTTGTGCTATGTGCAGCTTCAGTAAACTGCAGTGCTGTGCCTGCCCAATGGAAACTTTTTTTTTTAAATTTCCCTTCTTTAATTGTAGAATTAAATTAGTTTGCACACTAACATCATTGTTTGTGTAGTGTGCATAGTGCAGCTGAGCTTTAGAAGTCATTCTCTGAGAGTTACCCAGGCATATGCTCTCCCAGGCTTTTCTATTTAGTTACATCTTTAATCATTTAATTTTCAAAACACTTTATAAATAAATAACTTAGAAGTAACAAGAAATATTGAGGATAATATTATATTATTAGCCAATATCAACATTCTTCCTAGTTCTTGGGTCTTCAGCGCTGCTATGCTGTTGTTGTCTGTTTTACAATAACAGCGTAATTGCTTGCTGGGGATTAGAGGGAGAGCAGAGCCGTGTGTAATATCTGATCAGTTGCGTTGCCATAACAATATCAAAGCAGCTGTTCAATGTACGAGAACAGCTCTTCTTGCTGATAATCTGGAGGTGACCTGCTGGAGGTGAGGTTGTTGAAAATTTCTCCCTGGCTGGATTAAGTGTGCCCAGTTTTAAATATTTGTCACTGAATAGTGCCCAGACACTGTGGTGTACCTCATGAGTGTAGCACTGTAGGAGCAAAGTCCAGTTTCCTGTTGTTTAAACTAGTATTTTGGGTCTGCCAAAGACCCAAGCAGGTAAACGTGATCATTCTAGATAGTCCAAATGGAAATATTCTTAGTTACTTTGTTTGCCTTTCTTCTTCTTTTTTTTTTTAATTCTTTTTCCAATTTTCTTTCATTCTGACAATTAATAAATTGCAGGAGGGAGATATGAATGAATGCTGATATGATTTGGGGATTTCTTTGACCAAATCCTACACCAATTCTCAAAAATTAAGTCCCTCAACTAAAAGCTTCTGAAACTCCGAAATTGAAACTGTGACCCTGACAAATGAAGGGGTGATCCAGGAGGAAGGGAGGTCTGTGCTTCATGTGCAGAGTTAGGCTGACCTCTGTCTTTACAGTCAGCAGTCAACCACCTGTTTCTTCCCAAACGCTGTGTATTGCAGACAGACAAGTGTCAGGCCTGTGGGGTCACCTTCTAACAGGTGGAAGAGCTCAACTAAATAATGAGCGAATCAAATGAAGCTACCAGGGCATTGTTCTCTACTGCAATACCCCCAATGCTGTATCTCCATATTTTTTACACCTCTGAGCATTAACTCTGGAAAAGTGAAGCTGGTTTGTATCACCTGGTCATTAGAACCAACTACCTTTTCCGTGTCTGGGTAATTAGTGTTGCCGGTGAGTTAGGGGACAGTTAAGGACATGTTGTGCAAGGCTGAACTTCTGCTTCACAGTACTAATGCTTTTGAAAAGAGCTCAAACTGGTCTGGCCAGATCCCAGGCCGTCACCTCTTGACCTATAAGCTAAGTTGCACCTGAAGTTCCTAATGCACATAAAACAACATAAAGTCACTTTTCATAGTGAAAATCCATCCAGATCACTATCTCTAGCCTCTTGCTTGGAGACCTTTGTGTTCTCCTTTTAGGCTGTGAACCACTCATAGAATCATAGAATGTTCGGGGTTGGAAGGAACCTCTGGAGACAATCCAGTCCAACCCCCCCACCAGAGCAGGATCCTCCACAGGGCAGCCCCACAGGAATGCATCCAGGCGTGTTTTGAAAGTCTCCAGAGGAGACTCTACAACCTCTCTGGGCAGCCTGTGCCAGGGCTCTGTCACAAAGTTTCTCCTCATGCTGAGGTGGAACTTCCTGTGTTCTAGCTCATACCCATTATTCCTTATCCTATTACTGGGCACCACCAAACAGAGACTGGCCCCTTCTTGTTGACACCCACCCCTCAGATATTTATACACG